GGGCTGCTCACGGTCACTCGTGCTCTCGTGATCTCCTGCTTGGACTTCTGCAATGCACTCCACATGGGGCTGTCCTTGAAGAGTATTTGGAAGCTTCAACTGGTGCAGAATGCAACAGTGTGGGCAGTTAAAGGCGCTGGTTATCTGGCATGTGACACCACTACCCTGCAAGCTGCATTGGCCGCCAGTCTGCTTCTGGGTGCAATTCAAGGTGCTGGTAGTCGCCTTTAAAGCCCTACATGCCCTGGGGCCTTCCCGGTTGTTTCTACCCCTCTGATACAGCACAAGAGGCATGTTGCAGGTACCGTCGGCCACGGAGTTCAGCCATCAGGGCCCTGAGGAAGAGCCTTTCCTGCTGTGGCACCCGTCCTCTGGAACACCATCCCTCCTGAGATTCGGTTGGTCCCCACTGAACACCTTGAAGACCTGGTTCTGTGCCCAAGCCTGGGGCCCCGGGTGGGTGAAGGAGCCCATTTCCTGGCTATGTTGAAGGCATTTTATGATTCTTCAGCCGCTATGTGTTCTATTTTTAAATTTGTTTTAGCAATTGTATGTATTTTGGTTATTTTAAAACTGTACACTGGCCAGAGTCATGTATGGGCTCTGGGCAGCCATATAAATTGAATAAGTAAATAAGTAATAAATGAATCACAAATCACAGCTGGGTTCAACCATTGCCCACCACTCAAGAGCGCCCATGGGCAAGGGAGAACCGGTCACCTCAAATGCTGGCTGTGACCCTTCTCCACCCAAGCAGCAGCTTGCAAGGCTGACTGGAGAGCATTTGCCACACGCATCCCACGGGGCAACAGCGCAGACCCCTCCGCAGCAGGTTCAGCCACTTAAGGGAGGTGGCAGCTGCAGACCTCATCCTAACCCCCACAGAAAGCTGCTGAGCCTTCCAGGCTTGAAACCAGGCCCGCCGGCTCGCACCCCCTCCCCACCGCCTCCCTGGCTCCGGCCAGCGGCTTCTGCAAAGCGGGCTGCATCGGGCCCGCGCTCTGGAGGTCGGGGCAGCCTCGAGGCCTTCTGGCTGGAGCTGGGATGCGGCCCCTCTCTGGCCAAGGCAGGCGGGGACAGAGCCACGAGGGCTCCCCCTGGACTGCTGCTGCTGCTGCTGCTGGTGCTGCTGGGAA